TGGCAAACCTCAGATAAGGACAAAAGCAAATACAACTCAGGCAAACAAAATCACTAATGCAAAGAAAGGATTAGAGAGAGGAAGTAAACATGTGTTAGACTTTAACTAGAGATAATTGTGTTAATTACTATGCTAAACAGTAACAAAAGTTGAGCAACAACCAAAGTTAACCAATGTTAGAGGATTACTAAAAATGTGTATAAATACAAGACTAGACTCCAATAAAGTCATCATGATTCATTTGATCATGATCAAACACCTCGACTGCCTCGTCATTACAACAGGCATTAAAATCAGTACTGATATATGTTCATAAGATTTTAGAATTACAAGAATTTAGATGCTAAGATATCAATTCTACATGTTCAGATATTTTTAAAACAATAAATTTGATTCAACAGCAGACCCAATATTTGTTTTGTGTCTAAACTTCTCCTGCTCAAAAGATACTAATAATCTATAGACTTCATTGAAGCATATTAGGTTGTTAGCTTCCATGAAATCTAAACAGCATTGATATTTTTTGTCTATTGAGTATGTGTATTACATTAACTGTATTTGTCAAATAAGACAAAAGAACTGGTGGACTTTAACAAGAGAGAAAACACTGGCTAAGAATGAGATTTAAGTGTTTTCTCATCCTCTCAATTGATTCTCATCTGCAAATACTAACCCATGGAATTACATTGTATGAATAAAACTGAAAAAGGCACATTTCCAGGGTGTTTAATTCGGCTCTGATTCCAAAGAAGCTTATGCCTAAAATTGTCAGGATTCCGGCAGTAAAGATAATGTTGTATATCTTCAGAAAAATACAGCCTGAACTTTGAGCCAGTTACACTGATTTTTTGAACTGAACATACTTTACAATACAGTCTTTAAATATTTTTTACATTTGCAACATAATAATTTGATGTTATATTGGCCACCAGGAGGTACTGCATGACTGGTTTCATCCTACAGCAGTGTTTCTCAATCTTATTCAGAGATCACCCTAGCTGAGGAATTCTGGGAGTTGAAGTCCATGCATATTAAAATTACCAAACTTGAAAAACACTATCCAACAGTATTGAGACTCACAACTGTACTTTAATGTTGTTTACTATTATGGGGGGAAATGCAATGATGAATTGTCAGGTCATTTGCTTTCTTTGAATAGCAGTAACCAAGAAATATAATAATTTGTGGTTTCATTACACAAGCTGGTTGAATGGGTGTTATTTTAAGACAGAAATTACAACTCAATGTCAATTGCTAATTTCCTGTCTTAGATATCCTGATCCCCTCCCATAACAAATAAAATGATATTGCTGGACTCTTGTGAGAATTTAATTAGTTGGCAAGATTCTGGTTTGGAGCAGCAAAAAATGGCCACGTCTTTACAGTCCTCTGTCTTAGAGTCACACTTTGACTTCACACGAACAGCATGTAACAGGCTCAAATATGTTCAATGTGGCACAGGATGTGAAAATTTTTAAAAAAGAAGATAGAACAGAGTACTTTGGGTAAATCAATGTAAACTTCGTAAGTGGAAATACCCTTTAACTGTAAACCGAAGAGACTAAACTCTTAAATTACTTGGTGAGACTGTCACATACATTATCTGCCATCTGATTCATTACAAAATGTTGTTCTACTAAAAGTCCAGGGAGGTCAAGAAGAGAAGAAATAGTATAGTGAGGAACAGGAGATATTTCCTTGGGAACTATTCCAGTTTTATTTATCCAAATAGTTGCCTTTAAACCTGCATTCAACCCTCCTTGGATGTCTGTGTCTAAAGAGTCTCCAATCATCACACAGTCCTCCGGCTGAACTCCAAGAAGTTCACAACAGTGAAGGAAAATGGAGAGCGATGGTTTCTCTTCTTTTTGCTCTCCTCCGACAACAATTGCATCAAAGAATTCCTGACAGGCACAAGCTTCGATCTTTTCTCTTTGTGTCTCAGTGTCCCCATTTGTGAGCAGAAGCAAAGGGACAACTTTTTTGAGGTCCTTGAGGATCTTGCATGTTTCCTCTGTCAAAGTCAAGTGCTTCAGGCGGAAGGTTTTCCAAAGAAAATAACATTCTCTAGCCAGCTTCTGATTGGCTGTTCCTCCCTTTACTTCTTGTATAGCTCCTTCCCAATGTTGGATCCTTAGATTAGTAATAGATATTTTAGATGGATCAAAGCATTCTTTGCACAGCTTGGCTTGGAACTTATCACACACCGTGTCAGCTTCTCTTTCAGTGTAGTTATACTCATATTGTAAAATTTTGATTACCTATGAAAACAGAGAAATCAGAACAATGTTAGATTGGCTGAAGTTTACTTCTCTAATTTGTTGCCTTCCAGAATTCCAGAATACATGCATACCGGCTAGAAAGATTGGAAACTGTAATTTAATAAAGTTAAAGCAGCGTTCCCAAGGCTTGATTGTTTCTCACGCATGTGGAGTTCAGCTTATAGAATTCTCAGCTAGAATTTGCTAAGGTTGGGAGGAACTGCTATAGAGTCAAAGTCACTGTTCACCATTTTCCCTTTGACAGATTGTTTAGCAATGATTTGTTTTTATTATTATAGAGTGATGAATAAATTGCAGAAAAAATAGAGGAAAATAACATTTTGTGGTTTTGTATATTTGTATGAATGGATAACAATATGTTTTTAACAATACACAATATTTCTATCCAGAAGAATACTTGTGCAACATGTTTTGGAAAATGTCAGTAAAGCTAATAAACAATTAGAATTCTAATTGTGTTTTCTCCCATAGGTCATAATTTTCACATAAATATACCCCATGTGTAGAAAACTGCATGTGGAATGGGAGAGGGGGAAGGGGAAAGAGAGGGAGGGGAAAGCGAGAGCGAGGGAGGGGAGAGAAAGAGAGCGCTCTGCTTTAAGGTTCTTTAAGGTGTGGGGCGTGGTGGCTCAGTGTCTAAGATGCTGAGCTTGTCGATCAGAAAGGTCGGCAGGTCAGCATTTTGAATCCCTAGCGCCAAGTAACGGAGTGAGCTCCTGTTACTTGTCCCAGCTTCTGCCAACCTAGCAGTTCAAAAGCATGTAAAAATGCAAGTAGAAAAATAGGGACCACTTTGGTGGGAAAGTAACAGCGTTCTATGCGCCTTCAGCATTTAGTCATGGTAGCCACATGACCATGGAGACGTCTTCGGACAGTGCTGGCTCTTCGGCTTTGTAACAGAGATGAGCACCGTACCCTAGAGCCAGAAACGACATACATGCGAGGGGAACCTCTACCTTTACCTAAGGGTCTTCCTCCAGGAAAGCGCTAAAGTTACATAAAAGAACCCTATGTGGAAATGTGCAAAAAATATGTTTGTGGGTTCTATTAAGCAGCAGGTTTAAGTTGATCTAAGCCTCTCACTTAGGTACAGTATTCACTTGGAGGCCTGTTATATATTGTAAAGAGCTTTCCCTCCCACTGTAGACACCTGAGTACAAAGAAGGTTTTTTTAATGGCTAAGCTCACATATGGCAAGTGGCTTTCTCTAGCTGGGCTATTGAAAATGTTCAATTTTCCCTGCATGGGAAGTTCACTTGATGATGAAAAGAGCCTGATCAATGTGCAGCTTGAACTACACATGTCCCCTTTCCGAAAGATAGCAAAGCATGTGGAACGCTTCCTGCAGTAAATGACTATTGCCCCTTTCGTTCTGCTGATGCACCAGAATGAGGCGGGAGCCGCCATTTAAATTCAAAAGGCTTTCAAGAGCTAAAATCAACGCAGGGTGGCCCCTTTTCCAACCTCTACTTATGTGCTTCCCTTCCTTGCTTTTGTGAGGATGGAAGGAAGACACGCTTGTACAGATAATCAGAGTTGGAAGGGACCTTGTAGGTCATCTAATCCAACCCCCCCCCCCCAAGCAGGAGACCCTACACCATTTCTGACAAATGGCAAAATGTGCGAATGGCAAGTACCTCTGCAATGGCTCTCCTGCTTGCAGCGGCGGTGTCGATCAAGGTGTTGTCCAAGTCAAAGAAAAGGGCTTTGATCCCCTGCTGCAGCCCATAGCGGCGGCTTTGCCCGGCGCCCGCCAGATCCCGATCTGTAAACTCCGAGCCTGATTGGCTCATTTGCTCGCCCGCTTGGCGCAGAAACGAGAGAGCGCTCAACCGGATCTCCGTGTTCCGCCGTTCGTGCGCGTTAGATTTGCACACTCATTCGTGCACGCTCATTCCTGTATGTCAGGTTGTTGTTGTTTTCCCCCGATTCTCTTCCGGCTTATTTGGGGACGCCTAGGAAAACCAATAGAGAAAACTCCAATTTAGTTTTGCCTTTGACATAATCGCATTCTGGTCCTTCCCCCTCCCTCCGCTCCCCCCCCAACACCTATTCATTCACACATTCAGGACTTGCTCCTCTTTGAGTTCCGATTTCCTAGGAACGCGTCGATGCTTGGAGTTTTCAGTCGTTTGCTAATGCAAGGCAAAGGAGACCAAAGGAGTTTTCTTTGCCGATATGGACCTATTAATTATTATTTTTTTTAAAAAAAAATAAGTAGGGTCCCTCCTGGTTAATGCGTGGGTGTAAGGCCACCAGGATGAAGGATTAAAATGGGCAGCTGAAAACAAAAATATTGCACAAGAAAACATCAGCCAGCCACGTACTTCGGAGTTGCTGCCTAGAAAAGTAAATAAATACGTCTGCGGAATCATCGAGCTCGTCTGTGCCGCCTTTAACACTGTTTCGTTAAGACAAATCAAAGCCCTACGTCTTTTCCATTGGGCTTCTACGGAGAGCTGCCACCCTATGCTGTGGTCACCGTTGTCAAATCCTCATCCCGGAACTAAAAAGACCAGCAAAAGAGATCGGCGTTGTACGCGTTGCCTTTTCTCACAAGAGCCCGGGGGAGGGGGAGGAGGAGGAGGGGGGCAAAACAGATCGTGAATTCGAACGGGCTTTCTCCCCGCCCCTCTAGGTGGAGGAAAAGAGCGCGTGCGCGGCTGTGACGAACGCGGCCTCCGCCTCCCTCAGGTTCGTCTTTTCGTTCTTTTGAGCTGCGGCTTGGTGGCTGTTTGGTCACTTGAGTCCGAAGGGGCGGCAGCGTTATTGTATTCCTGGGCCGTATAGGTGCCTGACTGTAGTTAGAGCAAGAGAAGAATATATATATATATATGTATATCGTGGTCTGATAATGGCTTGCTTGATATTCTGCAATGTATGTTTCCAGATGCCCCGAGGAGCCGCTTTAAATTTCAGCCTGACCAACTGCGGCCATGTTATCTGTGGGCAGTGTCTCCAGAAAGGTAACCTGCCCCAAGGGTGGCAGGACCTGGTAGCCTGCTGATAGCCAAAATATATTCACAGGAGCCTGCTCTTCTCATTGGCTGCGTTCACACATTGGGTTAAGCCAGAGCTCTTCAAGCTTGGCAACTTTTAAGACGTGTGGACTTCAACTGCACAAGTCTTAAAGTTGCCAAGTTTGGGGCCCCTGGGTTATACCATGATATATGATTGCTTGGGTTGAATCTGGTTAACTGTGGTTTATTAAACTGCTTGATTAAGTTACGCTGACTTGTCACAACAGGTGAATCAAGTCACTAAATGGTCTTGAGGGCATTTCAGGCCATAACTCGGGTGGCGATCTTCAAATTACTATTCAAACTTATTTATAGCTTGAATACGATTTTTTTTTTTTGTTAATGATATTGTTTTAATTTTTGATCGGGAGCCATCAGAGTTGGGTATAAGATGGGCAGCTACATAAATGTTTTAAACACATATTAAGATATCTAAGGTTAGGTGCATATTAATGTTGAAAAATAGCTTACCTCTAATGTTGATATTGATTCCTGGTAACTAGTTCAAAACCAAGGGTAGTGATTTATAAGAGAGAGTTAGCACTTAGGAGGTTCTTTTGCCCTAATTCAGATTTTCTCAACAGTGTAAGTCACCAAAGGACATGGTCCTGAAATTTTAAGATTGGGAAGGTGCCAATTTTGCCCCAATGTTTGTATAATATGAAGTTGAATCTCCTCATCCAAATCATAGACTTGTTATGTTTGAATAAAGAATATTGATATAAAGAGGCAAAAAAACGGGGGAACCAATTTCAGCCTAAACAAATAGAAATACATGTAATAGAAACATATGGCATCCTTAATTGCTGTTGGAACTTGTTTGTTTGCAGATGTTTCATTACCCAACTTTATAGCCTCATCAATGCAATTCACATTAATGTTACCAAGTTGGGTAATCAAAAATCTGCAAACAAACTAGCTCAGAAAGCACCGAAAAATCTACAGTTCAACCTTGAGGTACACACCTTCTAATGAGATAGTTGAAGTAGTCCTTGCATTACTGGGAGAGTTCCATTTCTAGGCAAATCCAAATATTTTGTTTAAGAAATGTTCATATAAGTATTAAAGTCTTGTCTAAACATCTGAATTGCAATTATGTTTGAAAAAAACATGATGGATATGCTGCTTTTTAAAAAAAGCTAAAATAATTCCAAGTCATAATTATGAATTGTGAATGACACAATACAGAATGCAATTTATTAGATTTATAATTAATTTGTTAGTAAAATAATATATAGCACAGCATGTATTTGTGTTGATTTTATAGGTAAAAAAGATGAATGTATGATTTGCAGAGTTCCGTGTCGTACAATAGTCCTTTCAAAAAAGGTACAGAAAATGATACAAATACTGAATTTCATTCAGTAATTGCAAAATAATTAAGCATTGTAATGTATAAAGTATATTTTCGTAGACATTACAGAAATGCATACAATGTAACATGCAATAATGATTAAGGTGTTGTACTAGAATTGGAAAACCCAAGTTCAAGACCACTTTCAATTATAGACGCTCATTGAATGATTTCCATACTGTCACTCTCCCACAGGCCAGACTACTTTCTGTGGAGTAGACAGTCAAGGAGGTAGCCTTGAAGCAAGCATCCAGACATCTTTAAACAAAAGGACAAAAGCATTCCTTAAATTCTGGGAAGAAGTATTAAGAGAATCAGGTTGACCCCTCCCTGATCAATTGGGCTACAAGAACGAAGGGAAGAAAAATACGACCAGGCTTGCAGGTTTCTATTATAGCATAGCATAGCATTGCATTGCATTACATTTATAGTTTTAATCTTCTTGATTTAGAGGAGGAATGCTACGCACATGGCTTTGTGTTCCTAGAAGGAAAACAGACTAAATATTGATGCCAGTGCTACAGCATTTTTAAAAAGTATATTCTTCTGTCACGGAGCCGTAGCCAAATATGTAAATATTTACACATTGGTGGAATATTTAGTATCATTTATTATACTATGATTGCACTCAGAATGTTTTCTTTTTGTGTGATGCTGCACACTAGACCTATAAATAACCTTTCAGTAGCTTCATAAATATGTAAAGAAATTATTTGTATTACTGAGCAGAATTCTTATTTTTTAACATTTAAATACTTGAGTTGTATATATTTATTTGTTTGGGACAGGTGAATTCAGATATCCAGTCACTCTTTATGGGATTAGATGGGTTATGCAGAAAATATTCCAAAGAAATCATACAAGTGAGTTATCTGTTAATTATTTTGAATATTTTTTTCATTATGAATCAGAAATTCCCAAACTTTATTGGTTCACGGTGTCCTTAATTTTTCAATAACTTTTTCCATAATACCTTGTGGTTCCCAAGCTGGGATACCACAATGAACTTGCAGAGCTTAATGCATGTCTGAAGGATGTCTGTGTTTCCCTAAAAAAAATAAAATATTCTGTGACTTTCTGTGAGTTCACTATGAATTCGCATGGTTTCGGTACCATGGTGCTACATAATAATCTTCATCACCAAACTAACTCCCAGCAAGAAATTGGATTTAGTATTGGTTTATAATAAGTTTAAGTTGCATCAAATAATTATGATGAATTACCTTTCCTGTAACATTAATAGAAGATAAAATGTAATTTTGATATGTAGTATTGAATGAGGACATAAATGGAAATCTAGGCAGGTTTTATCCATCCTGTGTAATGTTTAAGTGTAATAAAACTGAATTGTACTATTAAACATACAATATCTCACAAAATATGAAATTGTAACACAGTAAGAATTTCCTGGCTGCAGTCATCCTTAGCAGTCAGAATTCCTACATCAAAAATTGGATAGTGCCACAGGTGAAGGTTTTCAGAAAATCAGGGAATTAGGTGATCCAAGCTGAAATACGGTTTAGCTATGTCCGGTGGTAAAGAAAATTAGTTTAACATTATCGTTCATGCTTGCAAGTAGTACTGTTGCCTTAAAAAGAAGACTTTAAAAAAAATAAGATGAGAAATTCATTGCTAAATCAACATCATTTAGCATATTATATTGCAATAATAAAAATCAGGATTCATTATTATTCATGTTGAAATGTGTCTACATATTAAGAAGTTCCCATCAAAGGGAACAAAGAGATGAAATATGTAGAGCCACATTCCTTCAGAAATTACTTAAGGAGCCTTGAGGGTTTTTTCTTTTTTTTTCATAGGAAATAAAGCACTTACTCATACCAAACTTTTATGTCATTTCATGTTTTTAGGAATGCTTGTTATTCTGGCTAAACTCACATTTTATACTAAGCCTTAATGTGATTTTAGCTTAACATGTAGCTTGTTCAGTATATTATGGCTTAGCATATATGAATTAAAAAATATTAATAGTTTATGCAATAACATAATAGCTTAGCATAATATGTACTTTGAATATCCATTTTATCTACAGATAATCAGTTCATTAAATTCACATTAGTACAGTATTATATTTGTACATGGTATGCAGTTATAAAACATTTCTGAAAGTTTGAAGAAAAAATAATCTGTAATGTTTTTGCTGTACTTCCCACATCAATATGGTGCTTGGGAATTAAATATAGTTGTAGGTATTTAATTTCTGTTAGATTTGTATTGCTTTTGTATAAATATTATAACATTGTTTAACAATACCAATAATTGTTCCTGTGCTTTCTTAATTGTTAGATTGCCCAGTTTCAGGAAAAACACAGAAGACATCTGTTAACACATTACAGAGAAAAGGTACTTTGAATGCATGTTGAATTGAATACTGTAGTGTACTGAAGCTTAATGAAGTCACATTCCTGGTGTGATATGTATAAATAAAATGTAATGGATCAAATAATGTACTGTACTAAGCTTTTGGGTACTTCATTTAGCACTTAAAATATTTTAACTGAGTACTGATTCCTTAGTCTTGAATATTTCCATTAAACAATTGGTGACCATTAAACAACTGAGCTTTATAAATGACAAGAAATATTACAGAATTTAAATTAATGAAATAGATTGTTCCATTCAGATTAAAAAACTGGAAGCATATCTTAAAAGAGCATCACAACAAATTCAGCATATACAACAATTGCAACAGTGAGTATTAATAATTATTAACATTATCATTGAATTTTGAATAGTTTCAAATATATTTTGTATTTTGAAATAATCATAATCCATTAGAATAATTTACTTTCCATGAATAGTAACTTTTTGTCATGCCCCTGGTGGAGACTGACTCTGAGGGAGAGGAGGAACAGCCAACAGGGAGTGGAAGTGTGGCGCTGGAGGTTGTGGAGGAGGCAGGGGAAGGGCAGAGGTGGCTGAGCAGTCATAGGAGGACCCAGGCCCATCCATCCTAGGGCACGCAGGGAGGAGAGGATAAGGGAGAGACGTGGTCTACTCGGGAGGAGACGGCCTTGATCCTCTTCATGGGCTGCAGCTGTCACAACTGCATAAGAGTTTGAACCTGCGTTTGGACACGCTGGAAACAAAGCGTGTTTCATTTTGGACTGAAGTTATCTTAGTTGGCATCCTTCCAACAGACTGTGCCTTGTTATCTCCTTAAATTTGGTAAATACTTCTCCTGTTCCGTTGTGGAAATTTCATCATTGTAGTTAGACTATTTTTGTAGACTATTTTTGAATGCATTTTATCTCCAACTGAGTATTATTGAACAGTGGGGGCAAGATGGAGGCAATAAAGGACATTTATTAATGTTTTGGATTTTGTTACATTTGTGTTACACTCTGGGTCATCACACTTTTACTTGAAAACATACATCTGGACATCTGAATAGATTCCACTAAACTCAGTGGAATATTTGGTATTCTGTCATATATATCTAAAGGACGCAGTACCATTTAAACTTAATTATATTTTTATAAATTGTCTGTCTTTATATATTTTTAATACTTCAAGTAAGGAAAACTATACACTTGGTGGCAAAGAAATAAATCATTACCTAGTTCATGCTGAAACCCATTGTGATTAAGCAATAGCATGTTGCTTTATATTATCATTCTTCAATTATTCCATTATCTGAAATTTAAAATTGGTATGTATGTGTTTGTATATATAATATTTGTAACATATAAACTTAAAAAAACTTAAATATTTGACCCAAGCTTAATATTTTTACCTTATTTAAATATTCAATGTCTTTTATCAGTCGGAATTCATCAAAGGAGGTAGAAGTGCCACCTTCAATAAGGAAAGTAAGTTTTCTCTTCCTTCTTTATATACCAAGATACAAATAGTTCCAGTTATCATTCTACTGTTAAATGCTAGATCAACTTTGTGGAAAAGATTCTCTGTTATTAAGAACACTTCCTATCTTTATTTTGCAAAGGTATACATGCTGAGGTGATCACTGAAAAGCAACGATGACAGTTTAGCACTTCCCATGCTGCTCTCTTCTACACACATATATAATAATTGTGGCTGTAGAAGTTGGGACTTTAAAATTGACAGCTATTGCATTTTCTTTCTGTCTATAGTCTGTTGCTTGAATTTAACTAGAAAACTAGTATTTGGTAACATATATATTTAAAAAATTGTCTACAATATGTTAAATGATTTCATGGAAAGAAACCTGCAAGTAATGGTTTCCTGTTTTTATCTGCACACTGGGAAAGCTTAAGCTGATAGACTTTGATATATGTATGTACTGTATATATATATATATCACAAACATGCTATCTTTTGGGGGGGTAAACGGTATTGCACATAATGCAGAAAAGTTGTAAGCTAAAGAAACAGGTTTGAGATAAGAAGAAAAGGTGTAATTAAAGTTTACTTAACTGACCCTTATATAGCAGACTGGATACAAAGATCCAGCTTTTGCTTGGGTATATCTATCTCTCTGGAATAACGGGCATGTTTATTGCATCCAAAATATTTCAGATGAGGCTATTAAATTGATCTTACCTGTTTTTGTCATTCTCATCTACTCCAACCGATCATGAATTTTTCTGTCTTCCCTTCATTGTCTGTACAGGCAGTCCTTGACTTACAACAATTCATTTAGTGACCATTCAAAGTTACAAAAACACTGAAAAAAGTGACATGACCATTTTTCACACTTACCACCATTGCAGCATCCCCATTTTCACATGATCAAAATTCAGACACTTGGCAACTGACTCATATTTATGACAATCATGTGATCCCTTTTTGTGACCTGACAAGCAAAGTCGATGGGGAAATCAGATTCAGTTACAGCTGTTAAGATTCATTTAACAGCTGGGGCAAGAAAGGTTGTAAAATGAGGCAAAACTCACTTAACAACTATCTCACTTTGCAACAAAAATGTTGGGCTCAATTGTGGTCGTAAATCAAGGACTACTTGTATACAAAAGTGCACATGCATTGACTTCTCCCCCTTCGCTCCTCTTACTTTCCAAGTTGTAATCTTCCATATGTCAAGGGCAGCATCAGATGGCTCCAGTGATATTATTTCTTCCACCTATCAAGGCTTTAGTCAATTGAGGCTTTCGCATACAGTTTTATGTTTTAGCAATATAGAGAAAGTACCTTGCAAACCTAGATTTTGTTGCCTGCAGTCCACCAACTAGGAGACATAAGTAGCATACAAAATGTTTAGACTTTGACTGTTACAGATTCTTGCTAGAAGTTATTTATAGCAGAGGCAGGATACAATTTATTGTTGAATAAATACAGCTCTGTTCTTGTGATTTATCATAGGCCGAACCAAAATTTCGTTTAAGTAATACAACCTAGTAATAAAAAAGCAGTACATTTCTGACAAATTTAAAAGTCCTAGATTCAGTAGCAAGGAAGCAAAAATACTTAATAAAATGAAATAATTACTTATACTCTGTTTTTTGTTTATTATATTGTAAATATTTCTGAATTATACATAGACTGAAACAGTAGCTGGCCCAACAAGAATATCTTTGATAAGTCCACCGCAAAATGGGCATATGGGTAAGAGTAAAGATTGAATAGAATATATGTCTTATGTTTGAGTTAAGCATTTCATAACAATTATCTTTTTCTATATGTTTCATATTCTGTCTGCTCCATGTAATTTGGTGAAGGATGGATGGATGGGTAGATATTACTAATTTTGTTTAATGATTGGGGTTAAAAAAAGAAAGGAAAGGTACAGCTAGGATCAAGTGTACAAATACGATAAATAGAATGTAAATAGAATGAAATAAATTATGTAACAGTGAATAAATAGAATGAAATAAATGATATAACAATGCACACGATTATTATTTATCTAAATTGTTGGATAAAATTTGTGTCCCAGTCTAAAAGGGAAAGTTATAATAAAATAATTTGACTATACGAATCTAAATCGTAATTGCCATAGGAACTTGATTTAAGTTCCGATATAGGAATCCCGGGGCCGGGTTATTGAATCTCGCCCTAAAAAAAAACTTTAATTGTGATAGAGAAGTTAAAGAACAGATATAAGTTGATTTCTACATTTGCAGTTTGCATACTGCAATTTCTGATATTCCCTTCCTGGTTCCCTCAAGCGAAGGTAGCAGGAAGTTGGAAATTGTGGTCATGTGAGGTCCTTGCTTAATCATCTGTGTAGTCCTCATTTAACAATGGCATCTGGGACTACTGATGCTAACACTAAGCAACATGGTTTGTGATATTGCACTTTATAGACATGTCACTTTGCCAATTCCAATTCCAATTGCTGTCATAAGCTCGCGACTACATATTATGTATAATAATGTACTTTTATTATTGTGTCTGGTCACCATTTTATATTTTATATATTGGGTATGTTTTAATGTTATGTGAAGGAGTTTTGATTTGTTGTTTGTCTATTGTATGCTGCCCAAAATCACACTATTTGATTTTAGCAATATAAATCTATTAAATGAATGCATGCACTCTATGATCCTGTGTCTTGGAAGATCACATCTTGGTAATGAAAAGTCCTTATTGGAGCCCATAAAACATAGAAGCCTAAAAAAAGAATGGGATCCTTTAATGATTAAGGAGAGGTCTGTACTAACATGAGATCTGAAGCACTTATTCCAAATAATTTTTGAAGTTTGCAATGTATTTCTGGAAATGTATTTTCAAATAATGGATTATATAAAGTATAATGTAATTTAATCTGGAATATTATTTATAGGTAGTGTTACATGCAGAAGTTCTCAATTATCTGGAATGACAACGTTTCAAAGAAATCCAACAGGATCTACAAGGTAAAATAAACTGCAGTGGGATTTTAAAAAGGGTATTTTTTTTTTCTCATTTTGGTGTTTAATGCTTATTTCTGCTGCCCAGAGCAGATGGTTTAATTGGCTTTGGTTTATTAGGATTTCTTGACAGAACTAGTATACTGTGAAATTTTAGGCAATGAGTTTTATGAAAACAAGTTCTACCTATATTTTTCCTTTGTAATTACTCAATTAAATACAATTACTGAATTAAATAGAATCTTTCCTTCAACTATTCGCTTCTTTGTTTTGGCTTATTTGAATTTATAGCAGTAAGTCCACTGCATAGAAGAAACAATGCTTTAGAATCACTATATCCTCTAACAGGACTGTTCCCATTGTATCTATTTTGTCATTTCCTGAACAATGACATTTCTCAGTTACTTGGTTTGAAATAATGGAACAAGTCCACTGCTATTGTAGTCAAAATGTATATTCTGCTTTCACTGTTATGCAGTGTTCTTGGTCATTTTATTACTAGATCATCTCCATTAAAAATGGTCAACAGTGGGAATTCTTACATATCACCATTTGTGTCATCACAAAACAATAGAAATCATATCCCAAATACTTTTGGACAGAAATCTACTCAGCATTATCAGTCCACACCTGCATCTTTGCTGTCATCTGGGATAAAGCACCCTATCACTCTTGTTAACCTTTTACAGAGGCAGCATTTAGGTAAGTGAATTCCATGAAGAAGTAGAAATAATCCTAGCCAACGTTAACTTGCTGTTTTGGGTAAAATGTAATCTTTGGGACAATGGTAATACTCTCTGATATTGACAAATGATTGTGTCTTTGTTTAAAAATACTGGATATTTCTCTGGGTTTCGGCAGCATCATATTACATGTATGGGTCTTGTTTGTCCAGTGAGATGATATTTTCCTATTTTCCTCTCCATTCTGCAAACATTACACTTCCTCCAAATCTTCTTTGAAAGGTGTTCTAATCTTTTGGAACAGATTGGGAGGAGCAGATATGGGAGATACCTATTCTGCCAATGATGCTTGTTTGTTCTCCTTACTGTAGATGCAAACTTGAATGTAGTCATCTGCTGCTTCTGCAGCTAACCTATCTTATATTTATGGCTTTGATTTCCCAACCAAAATGCTAAGTAACATTTATTGTTATGTACCAAGTAAAAAAAAAATCAAAACTGCCACATAGTGAAGATTAGTAAAGAAAAAAAAGCTATGATTGCAGGATCCAATCTGAGTTGGTCACGGAACCAGAGGTTTGTTCTT